ATCCGTTTCAGGTAGCGAGATGACCTTAATCCGTCACCTTTTTCAGGCACAGTTCTTTCGGACGGAAAAGTTTTCAACACTTTCCCGAAGATTGGCGCCAAGGGGAGAATCGTTACGACCCCAAAACTCGGCTCCAAACGGGACGTGCGGACGTTGTTTCACACAAGTTTTCGTCCACATTTTATCTTAATGTCCGACCGTAAAACTTTACTGGCCGTATTTTCCTCGAACAATTTAACTTTAAATTATGTATGCAATATTAAGTTGTCTCCGTTACATCTTTCGTACTTATTTCGATCTTCACATTAATACTTCTTATTCAGTTGAGATGTTGGCAACCCATTTTACATTTTCATCTATCGCATTATGACTTATTAAAAGATACGGATTTTTTTTCCACAACACTTTATAACAAATATAACACAAGAATAATATTTACATAAGTACTTACTTCGTTAATTGTTGGTTTAATAATTATTTCATTATTTTTATTTCTTTCAGGTAATTCATAACCAGGAGCTGAAGTGGAGACAGTCATAAAAGTATATTGCACAACCAGCTGCAATTTAACCAGCCGATTTACCTTCCCATAAACACTACTTTGAGATGATTCTGACACTTATCCAGTTTCTGAATCTTACAACACTAAAAATTTTTCCTCAACAACCATTTGACCAACAGATATTTAGGATACTTTCTTTTATTTTGCCGCAAAATTTCTAATCTTCTCTAATATTTAAATGATCTATATTCACCTCACATACCTTGGTGTAGAATTATCTGGGCTGGGTACAGAGGAAAGGGGAAGTCAGAAGGAGATTAGTCCTGGTCGATAGAGCGTATTCTATGGGATTGAGGCATGGACGCTGACGCAAAAGTCGGTGGAAAGCGCGAATGTCTTCGAGAGAAGGATTTTGTGGAGAATATTTGTGCCAGTTCGGGAGGAGGAAGGTAGAGATTAAGATACAACCGCCAGTTGTATGAGATTTATAAAGACTCGCCACTGGCACAGTTCGTCAGATTCCAACGCCTAAGATGGGCTGGCCACGTGATCAGAATGGGAGAAGAGAGAGTGCCGAGACGACTGATCGGTAGATGAATACAGGGAGTGAGACCGAGAGGGCGGCGGAGATTTAGATGGGAGGAAGCAGTCGACCCTGACGCTAGGGAGATGGTCGGAAGTAGGAATTAGAGGAGAGTGGCCAGGGACAGGGATGAATGGAGACCGAGGCTCGAAACGGGCTGTGGAGCCACCTCATTCACCTCACATCTCTTCCCTCTCTATTTGTCAACAATAAAACTTGAACAATTGACACGATACTAAATTGTAACTTCTACAGTTCAAAGTTCAAAATCTTGATATTTTCTGTCAAAGCTGCAGAGAGCAAAACCAAAATGGTACTGTGCTTCGCTATCTCCATTATCTGGACCCAAACCAAAAAAGGACCTTGGCTTGCATCAATCATAAACCTAAATAAAAAGAAGAAAAATGATAAATTTTTTTCATAGATTATGACGAATAATTGTCAAAACACTTTTCAGTGTAATGAACTCATGTTGTTAAAAAGCAAAAGTGATCGAGAAGAATTTCGATTATATTTTAACATATAAATGAATTAACAGAACAAAGAACAATTATTTTTTGCTGCACATAGATACAGCGCAAATACATATAAAACTAGATCCAAAACACAGGGTATAGAATAAAAATCATAATCCCGAGGGGCCGTCGTTGTAGTCATCGCCATCACTCGGGTTGATCCATAATTTCCACCGCGTGCAATATTTCACATTTGGCTTATGCTGACTTGACGTGTTCCACTCTGCAACGTCGATGTCTGTTCCCATGAGTTACGAAGGCGTGAGCTGCAATCTGGAATAACAGGAAACTCTCGAAGGCTCTTTTCCCAATAACTAGATCAACGCCAGCTGGCTCGAACTACGTATAAAATTTTACGAACCGATCAAAATTATGAAACAAAGTTAACGCTAATTCGGTTACAAATAAGTTTTGCGGTGGGTGTTTTTTTTTTGGTAGTAATGTCGGGTTGGGTGGGCTATTTTTACTCTGTTTTTTTACCCGAGTGTAAACAGGCCCACCCTTGTCCAGATAATGGCTCGATTAAGTCGTTGGTGGTCCCAGATGAGGTCTCGCACAACCCCCATCGAGTATATTTTCATTACAGGAGAGTAAATACAACGTGTTTACAATAATAAAACGGGCTCCACAACGCACAACCAACGCGACCATTCGCTCGTCGAAAACTACGCCATGCATAAATACGTTTCGGTTTCGTGTTTAGCGTTTCGAACTATTGCACCCAAACATTTGGCTTGCCGCACAACAGACTCCGTTGTTGTTTTCAACAATAATTCTTTTCAAATTGTATTTACAAATTTACATTTTCCCTAAATATTCGTCGATTCTATTGTTAACTTTTTATTGTTCTATCTATGTATAACTATTAAATCAGAGCACAATCTATTGGACTCTTGTGGTAGCATAGTTCCTTTAACCCCAAGTGATTTCGCCGTTCGATCTTTTAATAACCGGAAGCGAAACGAATTTCCCAATGGACTTTTCTCCAATACTGGTATACAGTTCGAGAAGCACAATCCCAATGGGTACCATAAAATCGAAAGACGTAAACAAAGAGTGTAGTAAATGAAAGCACATGCTTCTCGTCTTTCTTTTACTTCTGTTCGTTCGAGTAGCAGCAATTTCTCGTTGCTTGTGCCGTTCGAAAGGCAAAGAAGAAATACCCCGGCATCAGATAACAGATGGCTACAGCGGTGGCTTAAATTCCAATTAACAAGCGGAGAAGATTAAAAAGCCATTTGAAACTAAACCTCTCCTCCGGGCATTGAATAAAAAACCGGGCTTAATGCGAGTGTTTAACGATTAAAGCCAGAGAAGAATGGAGAGATATAGACGAGACAAGGCAAGGTCCGATGCTGGAAAAATTAAATTTATGAAATTTAATCGGAACGTAGAGGGGCTACGTTGTTGTAATGAGCGGCGCTGGTTAAGTGGTATGAATAATTTATGAGCTCGAACTCCGCGCGCCGTAATACACGTATTATAAATTTTACACCTCTTAATTTTGACGTCGCGATAAAATTGTAACACACAGTTTGCGCATATCGACTTGTTTTCATATAAAACCAGCGACAACAATCTCAATTTGTATGGTTTCAGCTCGATTTTTAAATAGATGCAAATTAATCGGATTCTCAGATAAAATGTAAAGACAGAAAACTTTAAGGGTGACTGAAAAATGAAATTACAAAATAAGCTCCGGTATACTTGATCCAGTTTTTATTTCGCATTAAACTTTACTGTGCCCGTCATCCAATAATTTCATTTCGAGACCGTTACGGCCGGCGAAACTTTTCCTCCGTAAAAACCGGCTCGTTGCTGCCGTTGTCGTAAAGACGGCCGAGGCGGAAATCCATAATAAAAACTTTTAACGTCAGTTGCGCTGAGCACAAATAACGCTAACGTCTTCTATTTCCCTCTTCAAAACGACACTGATACTAAATTGTTATGGAAATGTACCATAAAATTATCCTTTACTATCATTTCCTTTATATCAATCTAAACACTCTGTTTTACTTAAAATGTATTCTTAAAAGCCTTTCTTTTTATCATTAAAGCATTTTTATGTTGTAATGCTAAATATAAAGATGGAGATTTTGTGAAATGTTTTGTCTGCCATAGTTGCTTTGCCAATGCATGTTTGGGTTTATCCGCCAGGGAATCTAGTATCCATGCAAAAAGTCGAGGCTCCTCAATTTAGAAATCGATGATATCATACTTTCCGCCGGTCTGGAAACATAGCAGAATTTGTCCAATTAAAAAAAAAAATAGACATTGTGCAGCTAATGACCGACCCATTGCTATTATAAATAATTTCGCTAAGCTGATTGAACAGATCATTGTGAGGAAAATGGAGTTTAACCTAAATTCACAAATATCAACAGCACAGCACGGATTCTGCAAAGGCCGTTCCACTACCTCCAATTTAACAGTTTTCACTCAAAACGTTTGCGAAGCCTTAGATTGCCGTTTCGAAAAATTAAGGAGTTTGGTTGCGATTTAAATCTTTTGTTGCTTCTGAAATCGTACCTATCAAATCAGGTCGAAGCAAATAATGGCCACGAGTGGTTTGCCACAGGGTTCATGTTTAGGACCTTTACTGTTTACGATGTTTGTCAATAAATTGCCAAATTTGTTCAAAAGTTCAACATTAATGTATACCGACAATCTGAAGTTTTTTAGAACAATTGAATCGGACACTGATTGTACCAGCTTGCAGGAGGACTTGACCAAGTTGTGTTCATGGTGTCAATCAAATGGGTTGTTGTTGAACGTTGCAAAATGTCAACTCATGACTTATACAAATAAAAGAGAAGTTATTCATTATGATTATTGGCTGGAAGATATAAGTCTTGAACGTGTGTCTGAAGTTCAGGATCTGGGGATTTGGTTCGACAGTAAACTGCTGTTCAGCGGCCACTAAGTAAGCTGTCTTCTGATGCCCTGAATGTCCTAGGGTTTATCACTCGAAACAGCTGCGAGTTTGCCAGGTTCAGGTCAGTTTCCACTCTCTATAAAGCGTTCGTGAGAAGTAACTTGGAGTATTGTGCAAGTGTCTGGCCCCCAACAACTCAGAATAACATCTCAGCAATAGAAAGGGTGCAGAGGAAATATGTTAAATGTATACATTTCCTAGAATTCGGGCATTGTCCTCCTAGAGGAAGTGATTACTATCATGCGTTACTTCAGCGATATGATCTCAGTTCACTCGAATCAAGACGAGCAACTGTGCGCTTCGTTTGTAAACAACTTACTGCTTGGCCGTGCGGCAGCACCTGAAGTCCTATATTGATTAAATTTCCTAGTACTAAGAATGGAGTCCAGGAGCACTAATGCCCGTTTGCACCGTAATACATAAGCATTGCTTAAAGGCTAAGTAATGCTTAAGTAAGGCTTTTAAAAGATTTCGTCTAACAAAACAAAGTTGTTTGTATGTTCTACGACAAATACAAGAAATTATAGAATTTCCGTCTAATAAGTAAGTAGTATACATTATTTTAAATTATACTTTTATAGGCTGAATTTAGATTATTTTAATACTACTTGTTTTGTACAGAAACAACTGTGTGTCTCCAATGAACCAGTTGCTAACAACCCTTAGATTTTACGCTTCTGCTAGCCATTTAACTATTGTAGCTGATTTTACCGGGATGCATACTTCAACAGCTAGTAGAATTATGTCGCGGGTATCGCTTGCAATTGCTATGCTGAGACCGCAATACATAAAAATGCCAAGTAATACCGAAGAAATTCTAGCAGTACAAAACCAGTTTTATGGAATAGCTGCATTTCCCAGGATTATAGGTGCCATTGATTGCACGCACATAAAAATTCAGTCTCCTGGTGGCGAAGATACAGAAGTGTACAGGAACCGAAAAGGCTACTTTTCTTTTAATGTACAAGTTATTGTAAATGCAAATTTGGAAGCCATGGATATTGTGGCAAGGTGGCCAGGATCTGTTCACGATTCAACTATATTTAATAATAGTCGGATTAGAGCACGGTTAGAAAACGGAGATTTCCAAAATGGCATATTATTAGGTATGATGTTACTGATACTTAACGTAAAATAGTACATATTACTATTTGATTACAAATGATTAATGATAAGGTTCTTTTAGGCGACAGCGGATATCCTCTGCGAGAGTATTTTCTAACTCCATTGGCAGAGTGTAATTGAGCAGAGTGTAATTTGTAAATTTGAAGTGCGTTTTATCTTTCTCTAAAATATGTTTATGTAAATGAAATTTCTAAATATTAATTTATCTTTAAAAGGTTCACCTCTTGCGACATTTTTTATAAACGTCCTTATAACTCAACACTCTTCGAATATTCGTGAAGTTGGGAATGATACGAATAGTAGAAATGTTATTTACATAGTATATGTCAAATGTCAACTGACATTAACTTGACAACACGAAAAACCCTAAAAAATTACTAAAATTTATAAAAATAACTAAATTTTATGGCGTTGTTGCCAAATAACCGATACTTAAACGTTAGTTAGTTGAGTATTGTATATGTTGTGTCGGTGCAATAGACATAAAATTTAAGTTCTTCTTAACTATAAGAACTGCTTAACTAAGTTATGCTCAACTATGTAAACGGTGCAACCGGGCATGAGACTTTCTTGCTGTATAGGAGTAACACCAATTGGGGCCTACATTCGCCTATTTAATAGAATCATGCGCGCTGTCGATTTGCCGATTTTGTAGATAATAGATTGTGTTAATTTTGTTTATATAATACTTATTAAATTAGTTCATGTATGTCACCTTCTTCAAATAATTTTTGTAATTATTATAATATTACCTTTGTTATGGGACTTATGTCTGTTGGGGTAATAAAGATTATTATTATTAAATTAGTTTTTTGCTTCTTATCATTTTGCAGGAAAATTTGTGTTGGAGAGTTTGGAAAGGGAGGAGGGAAGGATCGTAAATAGACAAAGTAGGCGTATTACTTTATCGTGGAAAACGACGGTGTTTCCAAGCCTCGCCCGAATTAAACTAATTGAACGGAATGGGCGGCCATAAAACAAAACGCGGGGCATTAATTTTCCACGTAACGGCCGAGCAAAGCCGGCTGGATGGGACGTCCGGGGGCGCGTTTAGATGGCCTCGGGGCTTATAACGATACTTAAACGCCCCGGTCCGTATGTGCTTGGCTCCCCTTAACGGAGACGGAAAATGCCTCGCTTTATGCCGTAATAATCGGGAAGGAGGTCAGGAACTGTGCTAACGTTCACTGCTGGAACGTTTGAATAGACGTCGTTGTTGGGTGTACGAAGTACTTCTATACGATGGTGGTAGATTTAATGTGGATGTGTTTTAATTGGAAAATGTAGTTTGAATTTTGAATTTATCATGTACTTTAAAATTTACAAGTTTGGAAAAGTCGTGTTGACGCACACGGAACGATTGAAAATAATGTTAATGAGTTGCTACCAGTCGTGTTTGCAGAGGACCATCTCGACGGGGAACAGGTACCTTGGTACCATAAACCTTTCATCTGGACGTTAGGGGTAAATGTAAAATAAATAACCAAGTCCTGACTTTTTAAAACCCATCTCGCCACGAATTTTTATGGAAAGCGTCCCGGCCAGAGCGAGAGCAAATACTCGTTCTGCGAACGCGGCACGAAATCTAGAGAGGCGCACGTACGTCTGTCAGTGTTTATTTTTATAATATAAGCAATTTCTCTTCCGACATCTTCTCGATAGACTACATAAATATTTATCGGGGACCGTTGCCGAGGCCCCCGTGTCTGTGTGTATTTAGGAGATAAGAAATATGCGAAGGGCTTTCTGCTTTACGCCCGCCCAAGCTATTTTTCCTCATTCTTCCAACAGTGCCACTTCTGTTTATCTGTGACGTGGCGTCTTGTCCTCTCTTCACCAACACGTAAGAGAATAATTGCGAGACTTTTACGTGTGCAAACAGGATGAACCAACTACTAAAGTAAACAATGGATAATAGGTTCTTGGTAATTGGGAGACGATGACAATGAAGAAAATTTTACAAATCCATATTGACATTCCCTCGTTCTATTCTTTTCATTCTCTTTATTCATTATTTTTTTCTTATTATTTTTCTAAGAAAAAATGTTCGTTTTTTTCGCGAATTTTCTATTGTTCTTGATTGTTCCATGTTGTACGGTAGAGCACCTTTATTTGCATACATTGTATTCTAATTCGGTGAACGTATACGAAGTTCAAGAAATAATCTAAATAAATTGTACGAAACAATCTATTGTATGCGCTAGCGCTTTCAAAGGATACACCCGATCCACCGGGAGGTAATTATTTCTTTTATAAATCATTGAACACAACCGCCTCAGTTTAGAATTCTGCAACCGCCAGCCCTTTATGTGACCCCGAGATATATCGCTATTGTGCAAGCCTTTAATTTTAATTCATTGTCCGTCTACTGACGATAACGCCCTTCCATACAACTATGAATTATTGCTTTTCTACGTTTTTATTTTATCCCATTTTGATCTCTTTCTTTAGTAGATTGAAATAAGAACATAAAAATAATATCCCAAGCAAAATTAATTGCTATAAAATTCCACTTCAATAATTAAAAAATTACAATGTCAAATTACCATAATAGCAAACATGCTTCTATTAAATTATCTTCGTCAGAGATTATGAAATTAATGTTGGATATACGTCTACATAATCAAGGGTTGTTACAATTTTCGCTAATTAATGTTGAACTCCTACAACTACTTAATTCTAAACTATTGCATTTATTAATAATAACCTCGCGTAAATTTACGGTTTATTCGATAATTTGGGATTTGGGTTGTCAAATTATTGATACTGTTAGAATATTAAAAGTTATGTTAAATATCCTTTATAACTTAAACAGTGGTATAGGACATGTTGGCTTGAATCGTTGTATTTTGGTACCTAATATCACAGTTCTACAACTTCTCATTCTTTCTGACTCATCTTGTATAGGCGAATACAGTGTGATCCAAAAGTTGTACACATCAAAATATGTTTCTATAATTAGTAGACGAAACAAGTCTACTAATTACTAGGTAATTAGAACAATATTCTTCAAAACGTTCATACGCACACTTCCTCTTCTTCTTCCTATGGCAATACAGGTTGAATTGAGATTTAGCTTGCTTTATCGTTTGACACTGCATCTTCCCAGCATTATCAGTGTCTATCCACTGTTTTTTTTTCATGCATTCTAACTTTGAGAATTCTTTTTGGCAGTTTTCCTTCTTTCATCCTATTATCATGTCCTGTTCCTTGCAGTTTTTTAAGTCTGATGAACTGTACGAGGAGGGCTTCTCCGAGGAGTCTTTGATGAATCCCAGTATTCTCCTTAATACTCTAAGTTTATTGTTGCAATGAACATTTTTTAATCTTAGTATGTGAGACAGTGTAAAGTAAGCTCTCTTTGTAAGAGTGATTCTTCTAGAAACTTCTTTGTTTTCCGTGCTGCTTAATAAATTATACTGCTCAATGCTATAGTATGTATAGGCTTTCTCTCCACTGTGTTAATATCTTTGCTTTTTGTGTATTAATTTCCAATACGACTCCTACAGCATGTCTTTTCGTTTCTTACTACACCTGCTGCGTTGATTTAACCCTTCTTCAGAGAAGGGATATTCTATGATAATTTGAATACCTAACTTAGTCCCTTTATTTGTACACCGGGCAGATGATGCTTCTTTTTCAGTGACTAGAGATTGTTTATTCCTGCTATATCTTTGTTATGAAAAAGTTTTTGTCTGATTGTCAGCCAATTTATATATTTGTAAAGGAATTTATTCACTTATTGCTTCTCAAATTTCTTGCCTGCCTTCAACATGTAGTATTTCAGTGTTGTTTGGAAGTAATCTTCCCAAATAGATTTTATTTCTTAGAGATTGCTGACTATTTGACCTTATCTTTGGTTTTTATCTTTCTGTAACATTTTTTTTTTCATCTCTAAGCCCATTCACACAATATTAAAATTTCGTGCATGTCAGGTTTGTAGTTTTCAAAATTTGAAAGAGTTGGATAAGGAAAAGCTTGCCTATCGGAGATGGTTTTGGACATTCATTGACAAAAAAGTGTTTTATTCACCGATAAAGTGCTCTTTCACTTTGCAGCGCATATTTGAGTTCTAGAATAAGACTTAAGCTTTGCAGATTTTGCATAATGTTGGAGTTATAGGACTAAAAACATATGTCTCTGAGGAAATGTTAATTTATAATAAAAAAAAATAAATTTAGATTTTACCTGGAATAAGCATTTATCCTACTCTTTCGGAATTTTTTGCCCTAATGTTTTTATTAAAAAAAAAGTAGTATGAGAAAAAATTGAAGGAGATGCGTGATATGAATAGATTTGAAAATGACGTGGGTTATTTTTATTTTTTATCATCACACCCATACAATTATCCCCAACGCTACCAACATAATCGAAGTATTACTACCGTTCTACGATATCCCGTCCTCACAAAGTTGTTGGAATTATTTAATGCTCTATAATCATGCAGTTAAGTTAATGGCCTAAATATGGTTCAAGAAATTGGTTCGTTCTAAGGTAGAATTGTTATGTAAATTATTTATGCTTTTCATCGAACCTATCTCAAAAATGGAATGTATCTAAAACCAAATTGATGGTTATCTTCCATAATAAAAACAATTTTGATAAAAAAAATTCTAATAAAGTATCTAAACCCTAAAGGAATTAAAAAAACATCCATTCTTGAAATTCATCACCGTATATTATTCATCACTATCACACATTCTCACATCGCTCGTTTAACTTCATTTTTTGATCATAAATCAACATGTGAGACGTGCAATTTGAGCATGTTAAAAAAATTTCAGGCCGCCAAATACGGTCGCCGTCGTCGTTGTCGACGGTAGGCGGTTGTAGGGTTCCACCCCCTCTTGGTATGGTGTCACGTTGCCGGTATCAAATATTAAAACCGATATGCACACGGAGCTTTTTAACGCCCGGTTCGGTTCCGTGACGTAAAAATATGTCGTTCCCGGCGCCTGGCGCAGTTATAAACTTAATGGCCTTATATCGGGTGTAGTTCGCGCTCGTTGCTGAAACCTGAAACTCGCAACCAGTAACTGTTAAAAAACTCAGGTCTCCAAATACAAAGTTTAGAAGCATAACGTCTTATTATTGGACATTTCGATGGAATGGTAATGTTT